AGCTTGGTTTACTTATAAATGCAAAGACAGATGACACGCAAATATGATGGCTCGTTTGAACAGATCAATCTTGAAATTCGTGTGCTCAATTTTTTTTAATCTTAATCGGATCGAATTGTTCGTTGGAAATTAATGGGCTCTGATACTATGTTAAGATTTGGGGTTCCAAAAAATATCAACTTCATTAAGATGAGTAATCCAAATAAACTAGTCCATCTTTTCATCTTTATTCGATGTGAAATTTTATCCTTTAACATGCTCTACAAGATGGTGGCTTGTTTCAGCAGACAAATTTTTAAAAAAATAATTGTGATCAAATTTTTTTTAGTTTTAATCGGATCGAATTGATCGTTGGAACTTAACGGGCTCTGATACCTTATTAATATTTAGGTTTCCATCTTAAAATATCAAGCTTATTAAGAAGAATAGCTCAAATTCTTATAATGTTTTCATCTTTATTCAATGTGAGATTTTATCTCGTAAAATGGTGGCTCGTTTGAGCAGACCAATCTTGAAATCCGTGTGTTGAATTTTTTTTTAGTTTTAATTAGATCGATTTGCTTATTGGAGTTGAATGAGCTCTAATACCATGTTAAGATTTGTGATTTCATATTAAAAAGTCAACCTTATTAAGGGCATGTTTGGTAGGGATTCTCATTTTCTACAGTAAATCAATTCTCATTTTCAACCACACATTCTTCAATAAAATAATATTTTCCATCACATCAATAATTTCTTTCTTTTTCAACAACACATTTCCCATCATATCACTATTCAAAATCAATTCTTCCCTCAAAAAATCCCTACCAAACAAGCTCTAAGAGAATTAATCTAAACCCTTATAAATTGATTTATATTTTCATCTTTATTCGATGTGAAATTTTATTCTCACATTATGATGACTCTTCTTACCTCTCAGAAAACGATAATCAATGTTTTCCTGTTGTAGTTTACATTATTTGTTATTGATCAATGCTTTTTAAAAATATAAGGTAACCAAGAATTGCTCGAGCATTCAAATGGTAAACAAAATGGCTTCTTTGCACAAAATTTAGCAATTCTCTTCTTCTTTCTTTTTCATTTTCCTTTTATCTTTCAGAAAACTACAGCTCAAAGCATTCATTTCAAGTTATATAAGTTATGCAGATAGAAACATGATATTTCCATCTCAATAAAAAAAATTTTCCAGGAAAACTATGATAAAAGA